AAGCACCAGAGAGTTCCACCTTTCCTAGCCCATTCTCCTACTGCAATCCTTTCATCAATGTTGAGTCCTAACCATTCCCAATCCTGTGGGTTTCAGCTCATCTCCTACGACTACCACCTGGGTGAGCTGGCTGAGGGAGAGGTGGTGGTGGAGCTATTCTTAGTCTGACAGGTGGCTAGGGACAGAAAAGCCCTAGCTTCTGAGCTCTTGAGACTATTGGGCATATCACAAAGGATAACTTCTTCTTTTTTTTTTTTTTTGGTCAGTCATGGGGCTTGAACTCTAGGCCTGGGCGCTGTCCCTCAGCTCTTCAGCTCAAGGCTAGCACTCTACAACATGAGCCACAGTGCCATTTCCGGTTTTCTAGTGGCTTATTGGAGATAAGAGTGTCATGGCCTTTCCTGCCCTGGCTGGCTTTGAACCTTGATCCTCAGATCTCAGCCTCCTGAGTAGCTAGGATTATAGGTGTGAGCCACCAGCACCTGGCATAAAGGATAACATCTATAAAAAATTTATTCTGGGGCTGAGAATATAGCTTAGTGGTATAATGTCTGCTTAGCATGCATGAAGCCCTGGGTTCAATTTTTTCTTTTTTTTTTTTTTTGTCGGTCATGGGGCTTGAACTCTGGGCCTGGGTGCTGTCCCTCAGCTCTTCAGCCCTAGGTGAGCGCTCTACCACTTGAGCTACAGAGCCACTTCCGGTTTTCTAGTGGTTTATTGGAGATAGGAGTCTCATGGTCTTTCCTGCCCGGGCTGGCTTTGAACCACGATTCTCAGATCTCAGCCTCGTGAGTAGCTAGGATTACAGGCATGAGCCACCAGGGCCCAGCTCCTGGGTTCAATTTCTTAGTACCACATACAAAAAAAGCCAGAAGTACCACTGTGGCTCAAGTGGTAGGTAGAATGCAAAAGAAGCTGAGGAACAGCACCCAGGCCCTGAGTTCAACCCCCCCTCCCCCGAACAACAACAACAACAAAAAATCTTTGCCAGTTACTTTTCCATTGAATATCAATCTATCCTCTATCAATCTATCCTCTTAGATACCCTATATAATAAAAGTTATTATTAGAGGTGAGGAAACAGCTCAGAAACGTTAAATGATTTGCTCAGTACAAGTAGTTGGGCTATAAATCAAAACCAGAGTAACTATTGTAAAAGCCCATGCTCTGAACCACTGTGCTTCAAGAATACCTATTTGAAGCCGGGTGCTGGTGGCTCACGCCTGTAGTCCTAGCTACTCAGGAGGCTGAGATCTGAGGATCACAGTTCCAAGCCAGGTCAGGCAGGTAAGTCCTGAGACTTACCTCCAATTAACCACCAGAAAACTGAAAGTGGCGCTGTGGCTCAAGTGGTAGAGTGCTAGTGCTAACTTTGAGCTCAAGAGCTGAAGGACAGTGCTGAGGCCCAGAGTTCAGGCCTCACAATGGACCCAAAAAAAAATTATTATGCCTACCTCCTCTATGCAAGCTTACTTCTTGGGGGTGATGGGGAAAAGATGCTTTCCCCACCTGCTCTCTAAGGCTACCTCTCCAGGTGAGCTGGTAGAACAGAGCTAGGGCAACTGGGAGAGCAGTTACCCCACGTTGAATTATCTCAGGGAAAAAAAAAGTCCTGGAATTAATAGGAAAACTTCCTCTTCTCAAGGCTGGAGAATGAATCTAGAGGTATGGGTCAGCTTCTATTCCCATTCAGCTTCCTCTACACCCAGCTAAGAACAACTGCAAGGTGTATACAATCTCTCCCATACATTTCTTATGCTGAAGACTTGAGGGTGGGGAGGAACCTATGAGATAGGTCCTAAGAAAATGGGGCTGTGGCCAACTAATATGGATGAAAGCAGACAACTGCAAACATCTGTGTACTTAAGGAAGCCAATGCCAGCAGGAGCAAAATCATCTTTGAAATCTGGCCTGGAACTAGGGAGCCACTGACTCAAAGCTCCCCCAAATAGGTAGATTCAAATTCCTTTTTTGCATTGCCTTAATGTCAGCCTAATCCAGAGCAGAGCACACTTAGGCTTTTTTTTTTTTTTTGGTGCCAGTCCTGGGGCTTGAACCCATCTGCATCCCTGAGCTTTTACTCATGGCTAGCACTCTATTACTTGAACCATAGTGCCACTTCTCGGCTTTTTTCTGTTTATGTGGGACTAAGGAATCAAACCCAGGGCTTCATGCATGCTAGGCAAGCACTCTACCACTAAGCCACATTCCTAGCCCACTTAAAGACTTTTTGTTGTTGTTTTGCCAGTCCTGGGGCTTGAACTCAGGGCCTGGGCTCTGTCCCTGAGCATCTTTTTGCTCAAGGCTAGCACTCTACCACTTGATCCACAGCACCACTTCCAGCCTTTTTCATTTATTTATGTGAGGGATCAAACCCAGGGCTTCATCATGCTAAGCAAACATCCTACCACTAAGCCACATTACCAGCCCCCAACTAAAGACTTTTATCTCCCTGCCTTCCCTGTACTTTTTTCTTCCAGAATATTGCAGCTAGCCTCTTATCTTCTTGTCTGCTTCTACAATCCCTAAGATTAGGGGAATTGCAAAGTATGATTGGGTTTAGACCCTCAAAGGATTCTTTATTTAGGTATGTATGTTTTGTGGTTTTTGTTTTAGGAAAGTAGTGGGCTAGACAGACTCCTTCATTTGAAGACCAATTAGAAGTCTGGGCTCAGATATTAAAGGAGCTAGAGGGACTGAGAATGTGGCTTAGTGATAGAATGCTTGCCTAGCATGCATGAAGCCCTAGGTTCCATTCCTCAGTACCACATAAACAGAAAAAGCCAGAAATGACACTGTGGCTCATGTAGTAGAGTGCTAGCCTTAAGCAAAAAAAGGTCAGTCCTGAGTTCAAGCCTCAGAGCTGGGGGGGGGGGGGGGAGAGGAAGGAGCTAGAAGTTGAGCTAGATTATATGAGGTTCCTAGGAAAGGGACTAGAGCTCAAGCTGGATGAGTCCAAGCCAAAAACAGAAGAGATGGATCAGGCTGATTTGGAGGTCAAAAGGAAGGAACAGAGGTTTGAGTTACATTCAGGGCCCCTAGCTGGATGGACACATTCTCTAGCAGTGTGCTGGGGCCAACACCTACACCTGAAAATTGAGGGGATGAAGGCTTTGGAGGTGAAGGCTTCCTTCACCTCAGTTAATTCCTTTTCATCAGGGGCCCTGACCAGTGTGGCTGCTGGTAGCAAATGGGAAAGAGCTAGATCTGAGGTTCCAGCGAAATCATGAGTTCACTGTTTCATGAATTCAAATAGTGAATTCCCATCTCTCTGACTTACTCCTAGTCCCCTGCTCTGTTTGAAGATCAATCTCTTCCCCAACACCCACATGTAGAGGATGTGAAAAGTACCCAACCCAATCATACGACCACTACCCAGCAGCCAATAACCGAACACAATCTCATTGCCAAGACAAGCACTTACCATATTCTCATTATGTACAGCCTCCACTTCCATCCAGTAATCTTCTCCATCTTTCATTGAGAGGTCTCAATGAAGACTAACTGAAGAGATTATTTCACTAACACACATGGACATACACACATATATACACATGCCTACACACTTACACATATATTTACAAGTCCCCTCCTAGCTCGGCAATCACATGCATACATAAAGTGGCACATACATAAGACAAAAAGCCCAGATGTGCATCCAGTGCCAGACATCAGCCCACTAGAGGTGTTACCTGAAACTCTCAAGGTGAGTTGGTGGAGGCAGCTGACTGGTAAATGTCAGCCCAGGCCTACAGGAAAGTGGGAGGTGGTACAAGTACAGTCCATGGGTTCTGAGGCACTGGGGCTATGAGCTGGGCTGGAACCATGGCACTGCCAAGGAAACCATGTAGATTGGAGGTTGGGGTAGGCCAGAAAATTCTTTCCTCTGCGGTGTCTTCCTGTCAGCTGGGGAGATGAGGTGGAAATGTAGGTCTATCAGGCTTTACTTTTCATCTGGACACTTCAGTGGGGTAATGGTCTGAGGCCTCAGCTTTCCCTGACTGGAATGAAAACAAGGGACACTAGGTAGAGTTGTCTCCCCCCCACCCCCCCCACCAAGTCATGGGGCTTGAACTCTGGGCTTGGGCACTGTCCTTAAGCTCTTCAGCTCAAGACTAGTGCTCTACTACTTGAGCCACAGCACTACTTCTGGTTTTCTGCTAGCTTACTAGAGATAAGTCTCAAGGACTTTCCTTCCTGGGCTGGCTTTGAACCTTAGATCCCAACTTCCTGAGTAGCTAGGATTACAGGCATGAGCCACCAACGCCTAGTAGAGGGGTTTACAGAGGCCAAGACCCCTATTTCCAACTCATAGTAAGCTCTCCTCATTCTGATAATGTTCTAGTGGTGGTCCAGAGGGGACCTGGGAGACATGTAACTCCTTGAAAATGAATCTGAAAGTGCCTAATTCCTCTTTCCATCTAGAGGTAAAGCTTAAGTGTCCCCATTGAATCAGCAGGAGATAAACAATCCTGTTCCTCTCTTAATCCTCCATCCAGGGACTTCATTTTAACCCCTGCAATTAATTTAGTTCTCAGCAAGGCTGACAGGCTGGGGGCCGTCAGGTAAGGCTAGGGTAAGTAAGAATCTCACAGGAAACAAAGTCTTCTAGGCACTCTAAATGGCCCAAGATCCTCAGACGCAAGTCTCCTAAGCAAGGACCATGTGCTACTCTGCCCACTGCCCCCCCAAGCCCCCCCCCCCCCGCAATCCCTCAACAATAGTCAATCTAATACACCTAATTCCAGCTCTCTCTCAGGAGAGCCACATGTCTGGTAACCTCATCTAGAGGTGAGAGACAACAGTTGGGGGTGGGGGTAGGGAAAGCCAAATGTGATACCTGGGGACAAACTTTGGGGCCTAGGGTGAAGGAGAGGATAATTCAAGGAACCATCACTACAAAACTGAAGGAAATCCTTATCAGGAACTCCAAGGATAGGGGAAAGATTGCCTTTAACAAGAGTATTTATTGGCATCAAAGACTAACCAGGACACTCTCAAACCAGAAAGTCTCTTTATTGATTGGTACCATACATGACTCAAATGGCCAAAAAAAAAAAAAAAAAAAAGGCATTACAGTTGGGGTGTAGACATGTACCTTCCTTACCCCTTCCCTCAGCTCCTGCCGCAGTACCCTCCCCCAAGTGTGGCTAGAATGGAGAAAATAGGTTTTGGGGGACCCCATACTCCCAAGGGAAGGGTGCGGAGAGAGGTGGGACTGACACATCCTGGGACAGGCCACAGGAAAAGGCAGCAAAGCCATCCATGAGCTGGGCCCAGCCTTAGGGGACCCCGCTCTTGGCTTTCCCCTGGCCCTGAACCTCCACATGTTCAACTGTAAAAAAGAGATGAAGATCCTGCCTGCCCCTCCTCCCTTTGGGGAGAGGGGGAAGGTAATGGGAGATGAAGAACATCTACCTCAGCTGAGGAGGGGACAGAGGCCTATTTCTCCCTGGTGGGCTTAGAGCTAAGATGTCCTCAGAGGCTCCTCCCCCTCTGTGGAAGGAAGCTAGTATTATGTAGGAGTTTGAAAGGCTGCAGAAGGGGATTCTGAAAGGAGTGGACCCAGACCCTCTCTCCCATCCCGTACCTGCATGACTGACACAAAACAAAAAAAAAAAATACAGCAACAAACAAGGCTGCTCCCTTCCCGCCCCCCATCCAAGGGGAGGAAGCCTCCTCTCCCTCCATCCAAGACAGCTGCTCTAGTGGAGAACTGTAAAGAATACACACATCATGAGGGTTGGAGAATGAGGCTGGGGTTAAGAGTCACAAGCACTAGAAGGGAAGGCCAGAGTCCAGACAACAGCAGGGGTTGTCACAAAGATGTGGCCATCAGTAACCTCACCCCCACACCATGGCAGGCCTTCCTAGACTCTAGTCACCCCCCAGAAAAAGAGGGGATGGCAGTGTCTCCTTGGTCTGAAGCTCTCAAAGTATATAAAACAGTATGCATACCCTCCTGTCCCCACTCTCATCCCCACCTGGTTCCTAGTCCCCCCACCTTCACCCTGTTTTCTAGGAGGAGGGAGGTAGCTGGGTTTTTAATGGGGAACGGGGAAACATGAATGATTTTTTTTAACTTATATTTTTAATAATATTATTTTTTTTAAAAACTTGGAGCTGGGACAGGTGGTAGAAGGGAGAAAGAACCCAGAGCAGCCGCCTAGGGGTAGGGGCATTCAAACAAGCCCCAAAACTCTAGGCCCCTAAGGTCTGTGGGTCAGACCACCCCAGGCTTGAAAGGGGGTAAAGTCATGAGGGTAGGGAACCCAGAACCTGGGGTGAGAATGGAGGCAAATGCCCTAGGGATAGGGTAGAAGGGTCAGAACATTTCTGAGGCCCAGGGTCCATGTAGGCATCCACATGAGTACCCCCTTCCCCCAAAAGGCTCTGCAGGGGCCAGCCCAACCCAGGGTCACTGGGGGGCAAATCTTGGCACCTGCCCCCAGTGAGTCAGTTCCTCCCTGAAGTGGGTGGATGGAGGCTGCCCATTTAGATGCCCAGTCTCTTCATTCTGTCTTCTGCTCCCTGGGGCTGCAAGGGGTGGGACAGGCAGGCAGAGTGCTGGGTGGCCATGGCAGGGCCTTTACTGGGAGGCCTGTGACGTGGGGTTCTCCGATTTGCTTTCTTGGCTGGATGGAGGCTTGCTGTTCCAGGGGCTGTTGGCGCCCAGTGCAGGGGAGTTGTTAAAGCTGTCCTCGTCGTCAATGCCGTTGGCCGCGTCAAACTGGGTGTTCTCCAGCCGGGTGATGAGCCTCTCGTCCTCGTCCCCGAACTCCCCGCCCATCAGGGTGGGCTCCCCCACCACCATCACATCCTGAGAGTGGTGGAGGTCCCCAAACATAATCGGGGCAGGGGCTCGCCCGGCCCAGGGCAGTAGATATCCCCAGAACCCCCATACCCATCCTAGAAGCTCAACACCTCCCTCCCCCTCCTCATTCCCAAGTTTAAAACCCCAACTCCTCTGACTCCCTCAGCTCCTGGAATCCTTCTCACTGAGGGGCTCTAGAACATCACAGCTCTTAGCCTATATCCATTAGACTCTGGGAGGAAACAATATCAATTTATTTCCCTAGCTTCCTAATTCATCTCACTCAAGATTTCAATGGGCTCCTAAACTTCTGTCCATATGTCAGAGAGAGGGAACAGATCAAAACCAAGAGGGAGGGCAGTATGTGTGGATGCATGTGTATTCTAGATCTACAGCCGCATTCAAGACTGAATATTCCTCTATCCGTGAGTGTATTTCTGATAATATGTTCCTGTGGTTATCTGTCCTGAATGTCTCTCTCTCCTTTTATACTCTATGTGCTGTGGCTGAGTCTGTGATTCTAACTATGTATGTGCCTGCCAAGGATTCTCTCTTAAGTGAAAAGAGTCAGCTCATGCTGGCAGAGTATATTGGGGAAAACTGTCTTTGCTTCTGTGCCTGCTAACTTGCTGTGGCCTGGATATGGGTCAGGGGTGAGTGGTGGGGCAGCCCAGAAGAGAGAAGAAAGCCGAGATGCTTACAGGTACCTGGCTGGAGAGGGCGAAGGTGCTGGCTGGGCTCTTCTTCTTGCTGTTGCTGTTGTTGGTGTTGCCGCCCCCTGAGCTCATGGTGCTTCCCCCTGACATCTTCCGTTTCCGCCGTTTGCTGGGCTGTTGCCGTGCAGGTTCCGCTATGCCAGGAAAGGAAACTCAAGTGGAACAGGGCCCTGGATCCCCAATTCTCCATTCTGGGAGAAGCCCAAGCCTGCCCCATCCTGGGTCTTGTAGCCCCAAGAGCAAGGAAGGGACAGAGAACTTGATAAGAAGATAAAAATGCAGCCTCAAAGCTGGGTGCTGGTATTCTGTAAGTCTAGCTACTCATCTGAGGATGGCGGTTGAAAGCCAACCTGGGCAGGGAAGAACCTGAGACTTGAGACTGTTAGTGGTACTGTAGCCCAAAGCTGTAGAGTGCTTGAGCAAGAAGAGCTCAAGGACAGTGCCCTTGTCCTGAGTTAAGCCCCATGAATGACCAAAAAGCAAAAAAATAAATAAAAAATGCCACCTTGGAAAACTGCATCAGGTCCTGGTAAGGACAGGGAAAGGCACTCACCAGGAGGTGCTACCATGCGCTGCCACTTCTGGAAAAGGCAGGTCTTGAGGCAGTCTCGGGGGCTGAGGCTGTAGGTCTTGTGGCGGGACATGAGCTCCTGCATGGGCTCAAGTATCACACAGAGCTGGAAGTAGATAAGAGCATGTCACAGAAGAGATATGGGACTGTGACCAAACAAGATGGGGCAGAAATGGGTACCAGAAACTCACTCGGAGGTAGTTGAGAGTAGAATTGGATAGCCCACACCGGGTGATATTTTTGGAGAGCTGATCCAACATCTGGGGGTCCTGGGCCTAGATGGAGAGAAAGACAAGAACATTAGCACCTGGATTGCATCTGCTCACCATCCTTACTGCTCACCTGAGCGTTGTGATTCTCCTGAGAAGAGGGAGTATTAACATTAAGCATGTGTTTCAGAAGAAACCCTCCTCTTTTCTCCAAGTCAGGATCATGAAATGACAGACCCAGTCTCCCCTTCTGGCTGCTTTCCCTACCCCTTGTGTTTTGGGTCCTGCCCCAAACTCACATGCATGGCAAGGATGCTCCGGGGGATGAGCTCTCGATGCTGTCGGATGCTGAAGTGCCATGTCTTTATCCGCATCATGTCATCAAACATGAACTCCAGGTACAACCGGCCCTCCACACACACCTGGGGACAGGCTTGTCACAACCCTGTCCCCTCCCCACACACATGAAAACATGCCTGTCATAGTTCTGTCCTTTGCTCCCACTGGATACACTTCTGCTATCCACACATCAACCTAGGTATAAAACTATCACAGCAACCCCACCCCGTCCCATGCACCTCCCATAGCTGGCCTTACATACACCCATCTGTACACATGCATAGTTGCAATGCTTAAAAGATCCTTGTCCTTCTCCCATGAGGTCAGGGATACATTCATGCTATGAAGGCAGGCTCTTGTTTGCTGTATACCCACGAGGCCCAGAAAACGGACACAAATCAAATAAATGTCTGTTGAATGCTGCAGTATGCCTGCCCGCCCTTTTAATTTGACCATTTTTTCATTATTCCTTCTTAAGAAACAGCTGGGTACATGTTGGGAGAGAAGAAATCAAATCCAGGTGCCCGGGTGTTCCACATCCTGCTGGGTTGCTGACCTGGGTGAACATGGGTTTGCCGTGTTGGGTCACCATGCTGCCCTGGTCACAGTCGAGGGACACAAAGTTGCTGTGGAATGCCTCCTTGGGGTGCTTAAGGACATAATACAGCTCCGTAGCACCCCCTTCAAAAATGCTGCGAAAGTAGCGTGGGATCAGGGTCCGGCCAATGGCTGTAGAGATGGGACACTTTTCAGGACTGAGGGACCTCAAAGAGGGGGGTCAGGCAGATACCTTCCCTGCCAAGATGGATCTCATGGCACTTCCAGACCCACCATCAGACCATACAACCTCAAAACACGACCCCAAGAAGCACTCACTGTATCTCTTTGGTCCATCTTCCAGGCAGAAAGTGATGGTCAACATGGCATCATCCTCAAAGAACTCAGTTGTGAAAGCATCCCACCAGAGATTGTCACACTCCTAGAGAGCACACACAGAAAGAGTATATGTGTCATAAGACCGCCCACAGGGGTATCCAAATAAGACTCCATCCTCCCTATCACTTTTCCCTTAGCCAAACCTCTGTCCAGTTCTGAAGCCGTTTGTTGAGCTCAAATATTCTGTAGTCAGTTTGGTTTCCATAAGGTGTGTGCCTCCTGGGAAAGTTAAGAGGGGAGGTCGGTAGGAGCAGAGCCTTCCCACTGCTTCCCTTCTGCCTTTACCCAGGTGATGAAAAGCACTTCACTTCCTGCTGGACTCCACTTACCCAATCCCAGGCTCCAGGTATGTAGGCGGGTACATGGGAGTTGGGCTGTGTAAAGGAAGAAGCCATGAGAATAGGGGTGGAGATAGGAATTATTAAGGGGGGGTCAGCCCCTTCCCCTTCCAGGTAGGAAGCTCCTATATGGTCAAAGGGAGAAAGGTTAAGAAGTAAGCAAGGGACTCACCCCACATCCCGATCCAGCATGGTGCCGGGATGAAAGGGGGGAAAGGCGTTGCCGTTCGGGGGCTCCTTCGGCGAGTACAGCTTGAATGACTTTGAGGAACAACCTAAAAAGCAAGAGAAAAGAGAATTCCCTGGGATCCTCTTGGGGGCTCTCCTGGAAGCCTGCTAGACCATGTGGATTCAGACTGGTCTTTTGGAGTCCCTCTAGCCTGGTTCCAAGGGAGGGGTATACAGGGGGAGGAAGCATTTACTACTTCTTCAAAATGGCTCTCATCTTGTTTAACTAAGAAACTGGGGACATCCAGAGGACAGTGGCTCATTTCCTGTAATCCTAGCTAATCAGGAAGCTAAGACCTGGAGAATCACAGTTCGAAGCCAACCTAAGCAGAAGTCTTAGAGACTCTATCTCCAATTAACCATGGAGGCAGGGCTAAGTGGTAGGTCAGCAAGAAAACTGAGTGAAGCCATGTACCAGTGGCTCAAACCTGTAATCCTAGCTACTGGTGAGATCTGAGGATCATAGTTCAAAGTCAGCCTGGTCAGAAATGTCCACGAGACTCATCTCCAATTAACTACCAAAAAGCCAGAATGGGGGCTGGGAAGGTGGCTCAAGTGGTAGAGTGTTTGCCTTGCATGCACGAGGCCCTGGGTTCGATTCCCCAGCACCACATAAGGAGAAGCAAAGCCAGAAGTGGCATTGTGGCTCAAGTGGTAGAGCGCTAGCTGCCTTGAGCTGAAGAGTTGAAAGACAGTGCCCAGGCCCAAAGTCCAGACCCCATGACCAGCCAAAAAACAGTGCTAGCTTCAGCAAAAAAAAAAAAAAGCTACAGATGTTGAGGTCTTGAGTTTAAACTCTAGGACTGGTATGTACACGTGTATACACACACACACACACACACACACACACAGAGCTGAGAAAACAAAGCCTTGAATTAAAGCTCTCATGGGTATCAGTATACACACATACACAAAGACTCTTAAAAGAGAGAAAAAGAGAAGAGAGAGAGAGAGAATAAATTGGGACTATTCGGCCCCAATCCTAACCCATACTCAAGACTGTTTCTTTGAACATTGAATGGCAAAAGAGAAACTGAAGCTGAGAAGCAATTATAGAATGAAGATACAATCATTTTTAGAATCTTGATAACCCCTTTTTTATCTACAGTTTCATTTAATTATCACAACTTTGTAAGGTAGCAGTGTTCATGCAACATTGTGTTTGTGTGTGTGTGTTCAAGATGGCTGGCCTTGGGGCATGAATTCAGGGCCAGGGCACTGTCCTTGAGTTTTTTTTGTTTTTTTCTTCCCTCTCAAGTCTAGCATCCTACCACTTGGGCCACAGCTCCAATTCCAGTCTTTTTTTTTTTTTTTTTCGGTCCTGGCTCTAGGTCTTGAACTCAGGGCCTGGGTGCTATCCTTGAGTTTCTTTTTGCTCAAGAATAGTGCTCTTCCTAATTCCAGCTTTTTGGTAGTTAATTGGAGGTAAGAGTTTCACAAGGGCTGGGAAGGTGGCTCCGTGGTAGAGTGCTTGCCTTGCATGCATAAGGCCCTGGGTTCGATTCCTCAGCACCACCTAAGCAGAAAAAGCCAGAAGTGGCACTGTGGCTCAAGTGGTAGAGCACTAGCCTTGAGCTTAAGAGTTCAGGGACAGCACCCAGGCCCAGAGTTCAGGCCCCACAACCGACAAAAAAAAAAAGAAAGAAAGAAAGAAAAGAAAAAAGTTTCACATACTTTCCTTCCCTAATCTGGCTTCAAACGCTTCAAACCAGTCCTCAGATCTCAGCCTTCTGAATAGCCCAGCCAAAGCAACATTCTTATTGTATGGGTGAGGCAACTTATCTGCTCAAAGATCATAAAGGTTTTTGATCTAAGATCACCGGGGAGTTGGTGGCACACACTTGTAATCCTACTCAGGAGGCTGAGATCTCAGGATTGCAGTTCAAAGCTAGCATGAGCAGGAAAGTCCATAAGAATCTCCGATAAGCCAGGCGCTGATGGCTCACGCCTGTAATCTTAGCTACTCAGGAGGCTGAGATCTGAGGATCATGTAAAAAGCCAGCCCGGGTAGGAAAGTCCATGAAACTCTTATCTCCAATAAACCACTCGAAAACAGGAAGTGGCGCTGTGGCTCAAGCGGTATGAGCTGAAGAGCACAGGGACAGCACCCAGGCCCAAGTTCAAGCCCCATGACAGACACACACACAAAAAAAAAGAATCTCCAGGGGCTGGGAAGGTGGCTCAGTGGTAGAGCGCTTGCCTTGCATGCATGAGGCCTTGGGTTCGATTCCACAGCATCATATAATCAAAAAGAAAAAAGCCAGAAGTGGTGCTGTGACTCAAGTGGTAGAGCGCTAGCCTTGAGCTGAAGAGCTGAGGGACAGTGCCCAGGCCCAGAGTTCAGGCCCCACAACTGGACCCAAAAAAGAAAAGAAAAAAAAAAAAAGAATCTCCAATAAACCACCAGAAAACCGGAAGTTATGCTGGGGCTCAAGTGGTAGAGTGCTAGCCTTGAGCTGAAGAGTTGAGAGTCAGCGCCCAGGCACAGAGTTCAAGCCTTGTG